GGATTCGAACCCGCCACCTTAGGTGTACGTGGCTGGCGCCCTAGCCGGTTGAGCTATAGGCGCCGAGCCCAAATTCTGGTTTATGGGCTAGTTGGGCCTCGCCACTGTGAGGCCTCAGACCCCCTACCCCTCTGAGAAGCTCTGAGAATAAAGCAGCTCCACACTCTACCCACGGGTCTGTCTCCAGCTACAGCGGGGCGTCTGATGCCACGAAGTGACACTCTGGACCTATGCAAAGGATTCAGGGGGTCCCCTCTCTCTGCTGTCCCATCCCCTGCCCAGGTGACCTTCTCCCTCCTCACATCCTCCCTTCCCCAACCTCTCCATTCTGCCTGGGTCTTATTCCAGAACTTCTTACTCCTAGCCCTTTCCCCCCACCTCATGGCTTTGCAGACACTGTTCCTCTGTCTGGCTAGCCCACTTCTCAGCTGAATATGACCTCAGCAAGTCTTCTCAGATGCCCCAGACCAGTGTCCTACCCTATGGGTGAGCAAACCCTCATCTCCCTCCCACACATGGCCCAGACAGGGTCTAGCCCCAGGCTCTCTCACAGAGCCCTGCACATAGCAGGTGCTCAGCATCTGTGAGCCCCCTGCAGTCCCATCTCTGAGTGGGGGTGGACTAGCTCAGCACTGGGAACACTTGACCTTTTGGGCTGAGTTGGGGGAGGAGGAAGCTAGAGCTGGGGTCTCAGATCACAACGAATGGGAAGCTCCAAAAGCAGCTGGTAAGTCCAGAGCCAGCCCCTCCCTGCTCAGGGCATGTGCCACTCACCGATGCCTGACACGATGCCCCAGCCAACAGCCATAGCCAAGTGCGCCATCTTGGGCCCAACACCTGGCAGCGCCACCAGCTCTGCCACAGAGGCTGGAATGTCCCCGCCGTAGCGCTGTTGCAGTATGGCACTGGTCTGCTTGATGTACTTCACCTTGTTCTGAAGGATGGGGGAACTCAGTCTGGCCTGGGAGGACAGTATCCCAGAGACCACGGGTGCCCAGAGCTGCCTCTCTGTGCCCAGGACCCAGGCAGAGGCAGTTGCTCACTCCCAGCCCTGAGAGGTGGGAATGAGCCAAAGGCAGCAGAGAGGCCTAGAGGAACCCCTAGCCAGCCTGGACCCCTGCTTCCTACCCACACATGATGTGTGTGGAGACCTGCTTGGGTCCCCTCCCCCATCATTTCCCCAAGAGGGTGGGCCAAGGTAAGCAAGCCAGCCACTCCCAGAAGCTGGGCTCAGTAGCACCTGGTCCTTCAGGAAGGAAGGCTAGAGTCTGGGCTCCCCCACCAGCCACCAGGCCAGCTGGGTGGTTCCCATCCTGTGCCGGTGCAGAGAGGGCTATTTAAAACCCATCTGACAAGCTGCAGCCACACAGCTGCCAAGGGAAGCAACGCCACTTTCTGAGCTGCTTTCAACAGATCAGCCCACCTACTGTCCAGTGCTCTGTGGGGGCGAGAGCAGCCTCCCCTCATAGGGGCTCCCCCAGAGTGAGGGGCTGGGGGCAGGATGCACTCCAGAGCCACTTAGAGTAAATAAACAAAAGGAAAGGCTGGAGAGGAAGGGCGGTGCAGGCAGGGAGGCAGAGGAAGGAAGGGGAGGACACAAACAGGAAAGGCCAGGGAACTCTAGGGATTGGGTGCCAGCCCCCATAAGCTGCTCAGAGGGACTTGCACCCAGGCCCCTGTGGCCAGAGAGGCCTGACCCTTGCTTCTGGCACCACTGCGGCCCTCAGCTTCCAGAGTTCCCTCCCAGGCTAGTAGCTGGGCTGCGCTCACCCTCCAGAAGCCGACAGGGTAGATGAGCTCGCCCAGTGTGCTGTCATCAGTCTGCAGGATGCTGTCTACTGTCAGGCCCCGGGCTCGCAGCCGCTGCATGGCACCCGCTGTCACCTGGTCTTTGGTCTGGCTGGACAGCATCAGAGATAGCAGCACCTGGTACCTCCGTACCTGCTGGTGCCAAAGACAGGGACAGGGCAGTGGTGGGTCCTGGTGCTTGCCATAGGCCAGGCCCCACCCACACTTTGTACCCACCTCTATCTATTACCCTAGGTAACACATGGGACACCAGCCTCCTACCCACCCAGACCAGCACAGGCAGGGTACCACATGTGGGTATGGCTCCAGCCTGTTTTGTCACCTACAACATGGGGACAGTAATAGTAGCTGCCTCACAGGCTCAGAGAGAAGATCAGATGAATTGTCACAGTACTTAGAATCGTATTGGGCACACAGTCACTACAAGCATTGGCTGCTATTATTACTACTTTATGAATGACAATAATATTTTACTTTATTTTTTTTTTTATTTTTGAGACAGAGCCTCAAGCTGTCACCCTGGGTAGAGTGCTGTGGCATCACAGCTCACAGCAATCTCCAACTCCTGGGCTCAAGCGAGTTTCCTGTCTCCACCTCCCAAGTAGCCACAACACCTGGCTATTTTTTTTTTTTTTTTGGTTGCAGCCATCATTGTTGTTTGGTGGGCCAGGGCTGGATTCGAACCCGCCATGGACAATAATATTTTATAGACAAGCAAACTGAGGCTCAGAGAGGCATGTATGCAGGTTATCTGGTAACAAAGTAGGGACTAGAACTCATACTGGTTTTGGGACCCAGGCTCTGGGCCTGTGAAGTATAAGGATTGTTCCTTCCTCATGTTACAGAAAGCCTATAACATGCCTGTGCTGTGCCTAAGAGAAAGCAGAGCATAAGGCCCCAAGCTGCAGGTACACATGACCTGCTGAGTGGCTACAATTAAGTTGGTGATGTTGCCCAGTGCTCTGGGACCCCATTTCCTCAAGGTGCTACCTGCAGGGGAGGGTGCGAACCAAGAGTCACCAGGTCGGCTCGGCACCTATAGCTCAACCGGATAAGGCGCCAGCCACGTACACCTAAGGTGGCGGGTTCAAATCCCCAGCCCGGACCCGCCAAACAACAATAATGGCTGCAACCAAAAAATAGCCGGGCGTTGTGGCGGGCGCCTGTAGTCCCAGCTACTTGGGAGGCAGAGGCAGGAGACTCCCTTGAGCCCAGGAGTTGGAGGTTGCTATAAGCTGTAATGCCATGGCACTCTACCCAGGGGGACAGCTTGAGGCTCTGTCTCAAAAAAAAAAAAAAAAGAGTCACCAGGTCTCAGGCTGTCCCCTGCCTACCTTTGGCGGGGCACAGGGGTCATAGCAGTGCTCAGCCCCTAGCTGGTCTACAGGTGCGTCCTTCTTGCTCCTCATGGTGCGAATGTTGACCAGCTGCTGCTGCCAATCTTGGGGCTCCCAGATGGGTACCTTGAGGGGCTCGGTCCCTTCACCTTTCTCACTGTCTGAGGACTCGTAGGCCACGTGCAGTCTCTGTGCTTTCTGCTGCCGCTTTATAGGGTGGTGGGATTTCCTTCCTTCTGCAAAAAGTGCCACTCAATCCCCTCAGAGGGGGCCACAGGTAAGAGTAGGATATGGATGCTACCCTATCTGCTAGGATACCCCACATCCAGTCATGCAACAATTGTCCATCACCTATTACACTTTGGGGTACTCTGCCCTCTGGGATATGTCAGCCTTCCTTATGTCACTGCCCACCTGACAAGGTCCACATTAGCATGTGAGGACTCTATAAGGGGTTCTACAATGATGTTCCAATATGTCATTTATATTGCATCAGAGACAATTGTCTAACACAAAAATCAGATCCTGTCACTTCTTTTTTAAAAACTCTTCATTGATTCCCCTTTGTACTTACAATAAACTCCAAACTCTATCCTGGCATCAAAGTCGCTGCCATTCTGGCTGGCATTATCACCTGCCTGTTTCCACTGCACACCACTTCCTCCTATCCCATACTACTGTCCTTGTCTGAACTATCCCTGTGTTCTTTGGGTGCCTCTGGGGCTCCCCCTCTACCCAATTGTGCCGAAGTTCTGGGGGACAAGTGCAAGGGCCCTGTCAGTGTTGTTTACTGCCAAATTCCATACTTGGCACACATCACGTCCTTTACAGTGACAGGATAAATATAACGAATGCCGTGCCCTTTACTGTTTTCTCTCAGAAGCACCCCTCTAGCTGGGGGAGACCTATGGTGTGTTTTTGGCACCCAGCCTCTCAGAGGGAAGAGTTCACTGAAGACAGGGCTGGTCAGCCGCACAGCCAGGGCAACTGCAGTATCCTAGGACAGGCTGACAAGACGGGAAGAACTTTCTTGCTCAAGACCAGGTTGCGTGGATAGACCCCAGTGGACCTCAACCTCCAGGAAAAGAGCGCAGAATGGGCACACAAGGCCGCACGAAGGGCCACGGAACTTATTAGTTGCTCTGTCGTGCGTCCCGCTCCCGGCCAACGCAGCTCGTCAGACCCCTGGGAGGCGGCCAGGGACCCAACCTGCAGCACCTAATCCCCTGCAGACCTCTTCCCCCGCCTTTCCTCCCGTGCTCTGGCCGAGATGCGGCGCTACCTGCAGCCGCTTCTCTTCTTCCGAGCGGCACCGGGTCCTCCCCGCCCGCCCGCGGCCCGGCCCCGGGTCCCCGGCTTCGGCTTCTGGTCACCATCCGCATGCTCAAAGCGTTCATGCCAGACTCCAGTGGACTACACATCCTCTGAGGACCCGTGATCAGTCACGTGACTCCCCACGCTTTCAGCTTTTCCGCCAGGGGACGGCCTAGAACTACGACTCCCAGCAAGCCCTGCGGCGGCCCTCAGCGCCGTACCGCTGCCGGAAGTGCGGTTCGCGCTTCCGGCGGCGACACCGGGCTGGGGGTGTGCGCCCTTTTCGGCGTCGGGGCTACCCGGCGCGCGGAGGCGCGGCGCGGGGTAAGTGGCTCGTGACCATGGGACCGCTGGCGCCAGCCGGGGCAGCGGTGTGACGCGGTCCCGCCGCAGCGGCGGAGGGGACGCCCGGGACCGCGGGGGAGGCGACACAATGTTTGGGGTCCCAGGCCTCCGCCGCGCCCACTGCAGCCGAACCCACAAGCTGCAAGCACTCCTGGGTTTATTTAAGTCACGGCGGGTGCGAACGGCGCTCTCTGCTTGAGGCGTTTCTGAGACAGCTCCTCCTCTACGTGGGGAGAAGAGAAATGGAAACGTCGGGGCCCCCTAGACCCCGCGAGGCTGCCCTCTGCGTGCACAGAGTCGGGCGGGTCAGGCGGGCGGCACTGTCTCAGCAGGAGGAAGCTCGCTAGATCAGGCCTGGCATTTCCTAGGGTTATTTGTGACTGGGTCTCTCTGGCTGTGATTAAATTCTCCCCAAGGGCTGGGGAGAAGCTTATTCCCACCAGACATCTAGGGTACTGGTGGCTGGCTGTTGGCAGCTGGGCAGGTGGTGGAGCTATTCCTCAGGTGTCTCCATGCCTGTTTCCTTTGCGCAGAGAAGTCCTCTGGTGTGTCCCTGCCCACCATGGCCAAGCCAGCAAGCAAAGATTCAGGCTTGAAGGAGAAGTTCAAGATTCTGTTGGGACTGGGAACATCAAGGCCAAATCCCAGGTCTGCAGAGGGCAAACAGACAGAATTTATCATCACAGCAGAAATCCTGAGAGTGAGTTGCCTGTCTTTTCTAGCCTAGTGGGAAGTGCAAGGAAGGCTGGGTTTGTTCTTTCACAAGGTCCTGTAAGCGGTGGATTGCTGGTGATTGTACAGAGCTGACCTCTCCAATACTGTGAAGATGGGCGTGTCCTCAAAAGGTCAGGAGCTTGGTGACCTAGTCCAGCACACTGAATTAGTATTCAAGGATTGATGCAAGAAAGTCCACTTTACTAGATGTGACCTGAATGCCATGTTCATAGGTGGTAAGGGGGGATATGCCAGGCACTATCTGGTAATTTGTGACTTCTGGGAGAAGTAAGTCCTTATTTTTTATGTGTGTTTGTATCCATCTGACACATGCCTGGCACCACATTTTGCCCATAAGTAAAATGTCGAATTTTTGTACTTGTGGAGTTTCCCACTTAGAGAAAAACTAAAACACTTATCAGCTGATGAATGGGTAAATACAGTATGGTATGTTCATACAATCGGTTGTGATTTGGCAAAAAAAAGAATGAAAAACTGACGCATGCTACAACATAGGTGAACCTTGAAAACATGCTAAGTAAAATAAGCCAGAGACAAAGGCAACATATTGTATCATTCATTTATATAAAATGTCCAAATAGGCAAATCCAGAGAGACAGAAAGTAGATTAGTAGTTACCAGGGGCTAGGGCCATGGGGGGATGAGGCAGTGGATTGCTTGAGCTCAGGAGTTTGAGACTAACCTGAACAAGAGCAAGACCCCCATCTCTACTAAAAATAGGAAAACTGTCTGGGCATCAGGGAAGGCTCCTGTAATCTCAGCTATTTGAGAGGCTGAGGCAGGAAGATTGCTTGAAGATTGTTTGAGGTTACTGTGAGCTATGATGATGCAATAGCACTCTACGCAGGGTGACAGAGCGAGACTCTGTCTCAAAAAAAAAAGGGTAAGTAAAAATAAATAAAATATTTGCAATCATGGAAAAAGTGTTGCAAATTTTCTCAGTCCATTGAGATGGAGTAAGTAGTAAGCACTTTGATTTCAAAAGGATCTACTATGAGAGTCCAGTTCTTAGGGTAGCTTGTGTGTAGCAGTTAAGGAGACTTGTAGCCTGAGCACTGGCCCCTTTTCTTCTTTCATTTCTTTTCTAGGAACTGAGTGTTGAATGTGGTCTCAACAATCGGATCCGGGTGATAGGGCAGATTTGTGAAGTCGCAAAAACTAAGAAATTTGAAGAGGTAGGTTTGTCTCAGTTGGGGTACTAGAGAGATGCATGTAGGTTGCTTAAAGGCCTGAGTTTGCTTTTTTAGAAGTATGATTGACTTTGCTAATGATCTGATTTACACTATCTTAGTGATGGGAAGCTTCTGGAAATGCCCTGAGTACAACCCTGAGGGACCAGGGAGTGGGGGTGAGGAGCAAAGGGATTAGACTTTTCTAGCAGATCCCAAAAAAGTTTGTATTGGCTCATAGGGCAGTGCCTGTGGCTAAAAGGAGTAGGGCGCCCGCCTCATATGCCAGAGGTTGTGGGTTCAAACCCAGCCCCAGCCAAAAAAAAAAGTTTATATTAGCTTACAAAAACATGCTTGCTTGTCCTCTTCTATTACAAATTTAGGGAAAGGGAAAATAAATGTCCGGAAAGGCTGTGTATTCAGGGAACGATTCAAGGCATACCAGTCTTGGTACCATTTTGGGAGAGGTGACTGGTTGGGAAAATCAGGCAACCTCACAGACTTAGACATGTTTGTCTTGGGGCACGTTTCCAAACTCTATTGACAACTGGGGACAGAATGGGAAGTCATTCTGGGAGTGCAGGGGTATTAGTAAAGCACCTTAGGGCCCTGTTGTAGCTTTGTCCAGCATTTGTATGTGTACGACTTTGTAGGAGACCTGGACCTCACACCTTACAGTTCATCCCAAATGTGTAAGCTGCACATCATCAAGAAAAAAAAATATAAAAAGTAGTCATCCTCATTCAATAGGTTGTTTGTATAGGCACAAAACATTGTGTAAATAGACATGTGGGTTGGGCCTCAGAGGCCAGGGTTGTTCACAGGCTCTGTGTCTGTATGTTATTGCAGCTCAGGTTGCTACAGTGGGAGTATTGTGAATGGGACAAAGAAGGTGAGAATCCCAGTGCATCCTGAATTGGTTGGAGTGTTGGTCAGACAATACTTAAGAGACCCTGGCTATTTTAGTTCCTCTCCTGCCAGGAGGGAGCCAGGAAGTGGGGAGTGGTCTGAAAGCCCTGATTGGAGGTTAACACAGAGAAGGGAAGGTGAAGGGAGCCAGCTCAGGTGCTTATTAAGTGATACTGAGTGGGGCAGTTTGGGGAAGCAGGGAGAAGCTTCCCATGGGCTAGGCTGGAGTCAGTCAGAGGAGGCAAATTTCTTTTTTTTTTTTTTGGCCGGGGCTGGGTTTGAACCTACCACCTCCAACATAGGGGGCCAGTGCCCTACTCCTTTGAGCCACAGGCACTGCCCCCAGAGGAGGCAAATTTCAGAAGGAGCAGTGAGTTCTTCCTCTTCAAGTCAGAGAGTAGTGGAGGCAGGGTGGGGAGGTGGGGTGTGGTGGTAGGGTTCATGGCTGACGTGTTCACAAAGAAAGGCCATAGAAGGGTGTGTCAGGTACAGGCTTAGGGCCCACCATGAGCCTCTGGTTCTGAGACTCTTCCTCTGACTTTCCCCACAGTCTGAGTGGCTCTAACAGGGACTTCCTAACAATAGCCTTGGGGATGCCAGGGCTGCTTCTTAGCCTTTCTACTGCCCTCCCCCAACCCATGCCCATCTGTGGCCCGATGTGGGTTAAAGGGACCTGCTTGGGTTTAAGATAGCCTTGTGCTGTTCCTGTCAGGCCTGTGGTCATCATAGGCTGCAGACAGATATGAAATGTGAATGTTACTGGAGTTCTAAGCCAAAAGACGTATATCCTTTGTTCATGGTACTGTCCTTGTGTTGAGGGGCCAGGGTTCTTGGAGACCACACACTTATTGTTGTCCCCTTTGCTGGTGGCAGCACGCAGTGGAAGCACTCTGGAAGGCAGTCGCAGACTTGCTGCAGCCGGAGCGGCCACCAGAGGCCCGGCATGCAGTGCTGGCTCTTCTGAAGGCCATCGTGCAAGGGCAGGTAAGAGGTGTGTGGGCATGTGCTCTGAAATGGAGCCAGGAGCTAGGGTATGCAGGGTGCTGCCAGGCTGCCCCCGACTGTCCTGCTCCTATCTTTGCTAGGTATAGGGTCTGCAGGATGACATGCTCGGGAGCCAGACTGGTGGGGGCCTCTTAGCCTCACCCCCCTCATATCTGGCCGTGGGCAGGTGATGAAGCCAGTGCTTCCACCCCCTCCTGTGAATGGGGATGTCACCATACCTTCCTCCCCTGGGATATTTGGGGATAAAGTGAAGCAAACGTGCCTGGCTCAGGCTGACATCATCTTGCCCCATCCCCTGTCTGTCAGCAGAGCTACTATCCTGCTCTCACATTCCAGCCGTGCTGGGCTTGGCTGATAATTGAACGCCTATCATCTCTTGTTTCTGCCTGAAGTTTTTCCCCTCAATTGGCCACTTCTATTCCTTCAGGTCCCAGATTTTCAGAGAGGTCTGTGCACTCACTGCACCTCTCCTGCAGCTTCACCAGCCTTGTTTTTGCTGTGTGAGTACAAATGTACCGTCTTGGGCTGAGTGCTGGGGGAGGGCAGGAGCCCTTCATCTCCTCTGTGCACTCTGGCATGCTCGGAGACTGCTGTACCACAGGTGCTCCACACACAGTGGCTGGCTGCTGGCCATGCATCTGGTCTCCTGCCCGATATCGTGCTGACATTGTTGCCCCGTTCCTTATGAGGTGTGCCTTGGAAAGGAGAAAAGGCTGGAGTCTAGGCACCCATTGCACTTCTGGACTTCCTGGCAAGCATTTGGGAGACCCTGGCAGGGCTCTACTGACCCTTGTTTTTGTCTTTAGGGTGACCGCTTGGGGGTCCTTCGAGCCCTCTTTTTTAAGGTCATCAAGGATTACCCTTCCAATGAAGACCTCCATGAAAGGCTGGAAGTTTTTAAGGCCCTCACAGACAATGGGAGACACATCACCTACTTGGAGGAA